GAAGCTCTCGCCAGAAAGTGGATGCAGTTTTGCCGGCGAGGAAGTGCCTTATTGAATCCCAAATCGAGCTACGTGTGCATGAAGCACTTTTCTAGTGAAGATATAGAAAACAATCGACAGTTCGAAATGGGTAATATATTGTGTATTTTCTAAATTCATTCCATTTAATGTTGTGCCCCTTTTACAGATGGTGTGCGATATGCATACGACAATAGCACAACTAAAAACAATAACAATATACGTACATAAATAAGTTTTTTATTGCAATCTTCCAATTAAACCATTAAAAACATCATTTATAAATAACTTATGAAAAACTTTGTGCTTTTGTATTTTCCCAGATATGATCGCCGATAATAGAATGGATGGATGAGTCGTCCTTCATTATCTGTGCACAATTCTTGCTTGAAGGCATGTAAACATTGCGAATATTACCAAAAAAATAGCGAATGCAACGAAAACTTTTATCAGAAATATTTCAGAAAAACATACCTATTATTTAATAACTATTTCAAAATTTTAGAATAAAAATCTTATACTACCAGAAAAAACGCAGTGTATCTTGTTTAGACAATTTTCGTTAATGCCTTGGCGCGCCGATCGGTATTTTGGAAAAGTGCTCGTATGAGATGCTTAATTTCTTCTGCCTTATAGTTTGCCGTTAAAATACCGGCACCTTCACACCACTGCTCGGTGATTTCTTGCAACGAAGCATTCAGTATCACTTTGAATTGCTCAAGTTTTATCCAAGATTTAATATGTATCACTTCATGTTTGTGCTGCAGGAAGTACAAAAAAAAATAGCATTTGATTCGCATCATTGCATCCCATCAGAAATTTACCTTGAATAAAGTTGGCACCTTCTCCAATATGACACCGATTAGCTCACTCAACTCACTTGCCACTGTTGCCGAAATGTCCTCCATTGCGAGTATACGTCGTATTATTTCATTACAAAAATCATGTATAATATCGCAAAATGTCTTGTTATAAATTGCATCGGGTAACACATTCTGCCAAACATTTTTCAACAAATCTAATTGACGCAAACACTGACGCAATAATTTCAACGGCGCAGTGCCAACTGTGTGTGCATCGGAAATATCTGCAAGAGAATACAAATATTTTTTATATAAAAGGTTATACAATAGGCACTTGTTTCAAGTATCTATGCACAAAATTACCGAATTCTTTGAGTATGCCCATGATAATCTTTTGCTGATAATTGATTTGTACATTCAAATATTTGCTTCCACTCATATGTAGGGTCTTAACCAATGCTGGGTATGTGGGTATGCCCTTTTCTGAATTCGAGGTCACCCAATGTGCTAAAAATTGGCAATTATTATAGAACAGAGCAGATTGCTGTGGTATGCTTTCTGTAGTCCAATGAAACTGGCTTCAAAATTAGTGGCTCTAAACAGTTTTCCAGCAGAAAATCGCATATCTTAATGGGATTATAACGCGCCTGAAAATAATATAAGGTACTGAATTAAGTTAAACTATTAATCTCTAGCTACTTGCTTGGAACAACGCCATCACAGTATCTTGCAATTGATTAACATCCTTCGATACCTGCAGCGACATTTCACGGAATTCGTCTATACACGCACCCAGCTCTGAGTTGGCTTGGCGCAGTGCGGCATTTGCTTCGCTGCCAATTGTCTGCAGCAAGTGCTCAGACTCACGCACTAATTGCTCACCTTCATCAAGGTACGCGTCGGAAGTTGTATTATTATTATTTAGATTGTATTATTATTATTTAGAATACCTTTGATAATACTTTTCAAAGATTTCATCTTCGACTAACTCGTGGGAGCGTTGATTCTGAAATGGCAAACATTTTTAACACATACATTTGTCCCAACATTATTTTTCATACTTACCCTAAAGACTATATGCACAACACCACAACAATGCTTTCATCTTTAATTAAAGCTAATATATATGCTTAATATCTATAAATTTTCCT